TACATCTGGTCAATCGTCTTCCGTTTCCCGTGTCGAATGGTAAAAGTCCATATTTCTTACTTTATGGCCAGAATCCTAATTATACCTTATTGCGTGTGTTTGGGTGTGAGTGTTACCCTCACCTACGCCCATACAACATGCACAAGATGGACTGCCACACAAAGGCGTGTGTTTTTCTTGGGTACCCAGACTCGTTTTACGGCTACCGGTGTCTTGATGTCCAATCCGGACGCATTTACATATCCCGGCATGTTCGTTTTAACGAGGAAGTGTTCCCGTTCTGCCGCGTGCCGTCTGTAACCTCTGTTGCTCCGGCGAATGTGCAACCATGGGCGAGTGCTCAAATTAGTACGCAGAATACTACGGCATCCGCTAACAGTGTTAGCCGGCCTACCGTCAGTCAATCCCATAATGGAGTGTTGCCAACGTCCTCATCCACGTCGGCTGCAGCGTCATCGTCATACCAACCTTCGACGTCCACCACAACCACCACGAGGCGGCGTCGACAGAGGCCAACCGTCCGCACGCATGTCATGCGTCTCCGAACCACGACAGACGCTCAACGCAAGCGCCCGACTGCGCTGGTTGCGTCTGTAGACGACGACGAGCCCACATGCCATTCACAAGCAGTTCGGCTCCCACACTGGCGCATGAATGTTGAATTCAATGCCTTATTGCACAACCAGACTTGGCGCCTTGTGCCATCACAACCTGGGATGAACATCATCGGCTGCAAGTGGGTTTTCGTATCAAAAGGAAATCTGATGGAACTGTTGAATGTTACAAAGCCCGCTTAGTTGCGAAGGGGTTCAATCAGATCCCAGGGCAAGACTATTTAGACACTTATAGTCCGGTAGTCAAGCCCACAACAATTCGGCTCTTGCTAGCCTATGCTGTCTCTCAGAAGTGGACAATGCGCCAACTAGATGTCCATAATGCATTCCTGAATGGACATGTCAGTGAGGATATCTATATGTGGCAGCCACCGGGTTATACTAACCCAAATTATCACGATCATGTGTGTAAGTTGCAGCGCTCTTTGTATGGTCTCAAACAGGCTCCTCGGGCCTTGTTTACGAGGCTCCATGATTTCCTGGTTCAGGTTGGGTTCCGTCCTTCCAAAACGGACGTCTCCCTATTCATATATGATACCGGGACCGTCCGTATATACTTACTTGTGTATGTGGACGATATTCTGCTCATGGGTAATAACCCCACTATCATCCACGACATCCTAACTAGGCTATCTACGGTGTTTCGTATCCGAGACCTCGGAAAACCGCGGTTCTTTCTGGGTATTGAGGCCGTTGAGGTGGACACGTCTTTAGTTCTCTCTCAGAAGCGGTACATGACTGAGCTGCTCCATAAGGCTGGTATGGACTCATGCAAGCCGTTGGCAACTCCGATGTCTTTAACGTCCACGGCTATATCCGGGGATTCAGAAACTTTAGACGATCCAACGCCCTATCGACGAATGGTTGGGTCATTAATGTACCTATTGATCACACGACCTGACCTGGCTTTTTCAGTGAACAGGCTATGTCAGTTCATGCACGCTCCAACACAGGCTCACTGGGTGTCATTGAAACGTGTCCTCCGATACGTCAAAGGTTCGTTAGATGTTGGCCTACGCATTTCTCCAGCCAACACACCGGTCATCCATGCTTTTTCAGACTCGGACTGGGCTGGTTGCTCTATTGATAGACGGTCCACTGGTGGGTTTGCAGTGTTTTTAGGCCCCGACCTTCTATCCTGGGCCTCCAAGAAGCAACGCACCGTAGCTTGTTCTTCCACAGAAGCCGAATACAAGGCGCTGGCTGATGTAGCTGCTGAAGTCACTTGGATCCAGTCTTTGTTACGTGAGCTTGGTTTACTACCTGCGACTACCCCGGTGTTGTGGTGTGACAACCTTGGTGCCACGTACTTGTGTTCGAACCCGGTCTTCCATGCTAGGACGAAGCACATAGAAGTGGACTATCATTTCGTCCGAGACAAGGTTGCATATGGTGCTCTCAAAGTCAATTTTGTCTCCACTCGTGATCAGTTAGCTGACATCTTTACTAAACCGCTCACTGGTGTTCGCTTCGCTGATCTAAGTTGCAAGCTTGGCGTGGTCCCGTGTCCCCCGTCAGCTTGAGGGGGGTATTGAGTCAGCTATTTTGAATAAGTTTGTTAACGTAGTTAGAGTCTTAAGCTAGCTTTATCTTCTCCACCTATTGTGGTGGTTAGCTTACCTATATAAGCTTTGTACGTACATTCATCTTAATGTAATTTTGAATTCCAGAATATCTCTTCTCATATGGACTACGGAGTAAGCATCAAATATATGAAACATGTAATAAACATAATATTGTTATCCATTTAAGTGTCTAACAGCTAGCAATTTTTTTCAGTGCTTCTAACAATCTATTTTTATTATTCAAATCAAATCTTATAAATCGAATTTATCATATCATTTTTGGTCATCTTATTAGCACTTTAATTTGTTAGTACGAAAGATCACGACGTACTATACGCATATATATACCTTAGAACAATTGCAAAATAAAATTGAATAAAGAGAAATTAAAACCGCTACATATATAGTATGCAGACAGAAAACATAGCAAGAGAAGGAGAGAGGGATCAGAGCGCACCTACTGAAGAGGAAGCCATATTAAACAGAATATAATGAGAGAAATTCTAAGCTAGATGATGAAATATACAGTTAAGATGATGGTGATGATGATGATAATTGATAAATGTGTACGTGAGTGCCGGCAACGTCTTATGTTATGTCCATAAGTCCATTTTAAATGTGTACGAGAATTTAAAAATTGAGGTGAAGAAGATTCGTCGCTTAATGTTGTTTTTTGTTAAAACATGGCCTCTTGTTGATGACCGGCAACGTCGTATGTTATGTACATAAGTCCATGGCACAAAACGGCAATAGTTATGCTGTAGAAACGTGTTTACCATGCGCATGGCGAACACAGGGGTAGATTCATAATTTTTATATTGTAGAATCATTTTTTTTTTTTTGAAAACGTAGATTCATAATTTTGTTTTTCATTTATTGTTAACGGGATAAATCCATAATTTCTAAGCTGTAGATTTATAATTTCTATATTGTAGATTCATAACATCTATATTGTAGATTCATAATTTTTGTACTGTAGATTTATAATTTCTATACTGTAGATTTATAATTTCTATACTGTAGAATCATAATTTCTGTACTGTAGATTCATAATATCTGTAACAACAAATGAAAAACAAAATTATGAATCTACGTTTTCAAAAAAAAATAAAATTATGAATCTACAGTATAGAAATTATGGATCTACCTCTATGTTCACCATGCGCATGATGAACACGTTTCCACAACATAATTTGCGACAAAACGGTGTTTTTAATTTTTTTTTTAATTAAAAGAAACGACACTCGTTTTGTCTAATTACTTCTGTTTGTATGGCGTATTCAGTTTCATTTCAACGCAATTAAAATATCATTTCAATTCAACTACAATTTTATTTAAAATATACCTTCAATATGTGAGACATGTTATTCTGTTTCATTTTATACATACTATAGTTTCATTTTAGCACAACTAAAGTGTCATTTAATTTCAACTACAGTTTAATTTTGATAATATATACGAGTACTTAATATGTGAGACATATTATCCAGTTTCATTTTAGATACATTGTTGTTTTATTTTATTTTGAGCACATCATAACTACGAGATTTTTGTTAAATATAACGATTGTCGTTTCTTTACTTAAAGAAATGGCGCCGTTTTTTGAGATCATGGTCCACTCAACTATGTGGACCATGGTCCACGGTATAACAATTGTATAACAGTAGAGCTATGCTCAGGGTGCATGAGATATCAATAATTATATGGTGGATCGGGGTGCATTTAGCAACATGCACCCAAATACATCTATATTTTTTTATACATTTTTTAATTTTAATTTATTTTTAGAAAAAAAGTGTTAATAGACTCATAAATTTTATACAAAAATTTAATTAGGTCATTAAACTTTTAAAAGTTACAATTAAACTCATTAACATGTTACTTTCATGCATTGAAACCTAAACGTGTTACAAACCTATCATAGCAGATTACTTTTACCATTTTTTTTTTAATCTATCTAAAGACTAAAAGTATAATTAGCCCTATTATTTGTTATAATTTATAATTGAGCTAGGATATTACAGAGCGTTTGGTAGTGTCAAGAAAGTTTAAACATTCTTAATAATTTAAAAGGTGGGGTAATTATTGTTGGTACCGTTGGTAGAAAATACAAATAATAATCAAAAATAAGATTATTATTTTCTGGAAAGAAGGGAAGAAAAGATGAAGAAATTTGGCTAGTGTTTGGTGTTGGGTTTTTGCAAGAGTCAAGTAAGCACTCTTTCCTTAAAACCTTGTTTGTCACCTCCCAAAGATGCTAGGAGCGTTGTGGCCTAGGCTTCCCAGGATAAAACTTGCTAGTGATTCAATGTTTGAGCACTCAAATAAGGAATCCGGCGAGCAAGACACGGTTATGAACACAGTATGGCTAAGAAGAGGAGTAGAAGCAGAATTTTGAGGTTGGAAAACAAAAGTTTCGTGCAGTGTTCTTGCTGTTCTCACTGTGTGTAAAACTCTACTGCCTCTACCCTCTCTTATATAGGGTTGAAGGAGCCAATAGCCTTTATTATGGCAATTAAAAATGACATTAAAGCTGCCTTCCAACAGCTATAACAGCAGGCTACTACCTAGGAATTGAATTCAGAATTCAAAAATTGGAATTAATAGACAATTAATTCCGTAACAGATGAATTCAATCCCCTGAACAGTCAGAACTTTCGGGTTCCAGACCGTTAGCGTACAGGGTTCGGTCTCAACTTTCGACCTCATCCAGTTTCGGCCCTTGCACCTTTCGTGGACTCTGTTGCACGAGAGTTGTGCTCTCGGTGCACCACAACCTCTCGTGCTCTCTTGTAGCACGAGAGCCAGTTAGAAAATCTGGTTGCTTATTCTAGAATCTTTTTCTTTTTCCATTCCACCTATTTCTCTCGATCTAAATAATAAAATTGGTTTACCCTTGGAGAGGTCTTTTTCTATAAACGGAAGATTTTGGTTTGTTGTTCTTGTTTCTTTTGAAACTTTTTAAAATAATTTTATTATTATTATTTTTTTAAAACGCTTTCAGCTGTAACCTTTTCATATTTTCCAATTTTTTTTTTCGAGTTCCTTTAAAATGGGCTCAAAAAAGGAAGGTGTTTTTCGGGGAGAACCAAAAGGCAGTTCTGTTTCCCTTCCAAAAATTGTTAAAAAACAAACGTCATCACGAGAAGTTAGCGGTTTAGATGTGTGCCAAGGTTTCAGATGGAAAGGATATACAATCTTGATCTGAATACCTTGTGTCAACCAATTTTTCGGAAATTCTGTTTCGGATAACGGATTACCAGTATAAGTGCACTTAATATGCTTTTCTCTATTCCATTCCTCGAAATCTTCAGACCATTCAGGAATTTGCAATAATAGCATACGTCCAAGATTTTTACCGATTATCAATGAAGGTAAGAGCCAGTTAGAAAATGATACCGAAGTTTGGCATAACTTAGCCCGCAAGGCCAGCCAATTTCCGGACGACATTCGTGCCCCCAGGTGCCGGCGCACACGAGCTCGGGCTTGAATCAAGCCTTTTCTCTGCTAGTTGGAATTTGATTTGCACCCCCCCCCCCCCCCCCCGCCCGCGCGAGAGAGCCTCTATGCTATACAATTCTACAAGCTTCAAAAGAGCTCTTGTATATAAGGGGGGAAAATCTTCATTCCAAAGCAATGTGGGACAAAAGCTCACTTTTCCCTTCATTTTCCAACTCAAATGAGTCTACTTTGAGAATCAATATCTCATTCACCCATTATCCGTTTTGAGCGTACAATATATCGATCTCTTCGTCTCACTACGAAGAATCCGAATCCACTTTGACCCGACCCAAATCGGAAGTGGACCCCACTGATAATTGTACTACAAAATAGCCACGTAACATGCCATTTTATGCCATTTTAAGCTATTTTTTCCAACAATCCCCCACATGAGTGAAAAATTGATTTTCAGGGTATTTTGAAATCGGAAACAACTGTGTTCAAATGGTCGATCCCTGCATAGGATAGGTAGGGAGTCACTATACCCTTTGAACCTTCCCTCGTGAAGACATGTTTACTCTACTGGCTGTACGGTAGAACACGATGTCTTTGAACCGACTGCCGTTTGTGTAGACGATGACATATCTCACACAGAAATCTCCCAACCATGCTCTTGCTCTCACGAGTGTGCCCGTTTTGGTCGTGGGTTACCGTTCCTGGTTCTGCGAGAGTTTCTAAAGAATTGTGCCCAACAATTCTCCTTTGAAGCGACCCTCACTTCTCTCTAACATAGGTGATTCTTTCTCGAGTATCCCACATACTCAAGAATCATTAAAGCATTAACATGCTAGCCTCTTGCGGGAGTCACTGTTTTAACGAGGAGTGGTCGGGAGTCCGAGACCCCCACAGTGACGCGCTCCGTTCCATAATTTAGTTGTCCCATTGAACCTAGGTGCCAGCTAGGTTGGGTATCCACTATAGAACTTTTTAGTCCAAGGGTAGTAGACCCATTCCTCGTGTCAACTTCTCCACAACTTCTCTTCCTAACCCTTTGGTCAGCGGATCCGCTATATTGTCTTTTGACTTTACGTAGTCAATCGAGACAACACCAGTTGTGAGTAGTTGTCTAATGGTATTATGTCTACGACGCACGTGTCTAGACTTACCATTATACATATGACTCTGTACTCTCCCAATTGTGGCTTGACTATCGCAATGCACACATATTGGAGGTACCGGTCTTTCCCAATTAGGAATATCCTCTATAAAATGGCGTAGCCATTCAGCCTCTTCACAACCTTTGTACAAGGCTATCAGCTCAGATTCCATCGTGGATCTAGCTATCACTGTTTGCTTAGAGGATTTCCATGCAACGGCTGCACCGGCTAGTGTAAACAGGTAGCCACTCGTGGACTTAGAGTCTTTAATATCAGATATCCAATTCGCGTCGCTATACCCTTCAAGTACAGCAAGATATCTCCTGTAGTGCAGTCCAAGATCACGAATATACCTCAAGTATCTCATAACCTTTACTATTGCCTTCCAGTGCATAGCACCGGGGTTACTCGTATATCTACTGAGTTTACTAACCGCATAGGCAATATCCGGCCTAGTACAGCTCATAAGATACATCAAACTACCAATGACCCGAGCATATTCCACTTGAGAAATACCTTCTCCGTGGTTCTTGGTTAGATGAATATTTGTATCAAATGGTGTCCTAGCCACTTGACTATCATCCTTGTTAAATTTCTCAAGGATTTTGTCAATATAATGTGATTGGCTCAACACGAGACCATCAGGTCTTCTAATGATTTTAATCCCGAGGATTAAATTAGCCAAACCCATATCCTTCATGTCAAATCTCGCATTTAACATGTTTTTAGTAGACTTGATCATCCGATCATTACTACCAACGATGAGAATATCATCGACATATAAACAAAGGATGACATAGCCGTCTATCGTTTCCTTAACGTAGACACATTTGCCACTTTCGTTTATTTTAAACCCGTTAGTTAACATCGCATGGTCAAACTTCTCGTGCCACTGCTTAGGCGCTTGTATTAAACCATAGAGCGATTTAACCAACTTACACACTTTCCTCTCTTGGCCCGGAACCACGAACCCTTCGGGTTGTTCCATATAGATTTCCTCATCTAATTCGCCGTTTAGGAAAGCGGTTTTCACATCCATTTGATGAACTTCCAAGTTCCGCAACGCGGCTATGGCAAATATCATCCTAATGGAGTTTATTCTCGTCACGGGAGAATACGTGTCGAAGTAATCGAGGCCCTCGTGTTGCCTGTAACCCTTGATTACAAGCCTAGCCTTATACTTCTCGATGGAACTGTCCGGTTTCATCTTCCTTTTAAAGACCCACTTGGATCCTAAGGGTTTACTACCCGGAGGAAGATCAACGAGTTCCCAAGTGTGATTCTGTAGGATAGAATCCACTTCACTTTTTATAGCCTCTTTCTACATTGGTCCTTCCGTAGAAATCACAGCTTCTACATACGTTCGAGGCTCGTTCTCTATCAAACAAGATAGAAAATCGGGTTCATTTTCTAATAAACAAGTTAGAGTACCCGAATCGTACTCTAACAAGTAAGTTAGAAAATCAGGACCTAATGATTTTCCAACTCTCACCCGCTTACTGCGTCTCGGCTCGAGCTCGGGTTCTCTCTCGGATTCCCCACTATCATTATCCATAGTTTCGTCAAACGTTCGTTTTGACGTACTTAGTCCCTTGTTGGACCTACAAGGAAATATATTTTCAAAGAAATATGCATTCCTTGATTCTATTATCGTGTTCTCGTGTACATCCGGATTATGGGACTCGTGTACTAAGAAACGATAAGCACTACTATTATGTGCATAGCCAATAAAGATACAGTCCACCGTCTTAGGACCTATCTTTACTTTCTTAGGTGTTGGCACCAAAACTTTGGCAAGACACCCCCACACTTTCAGGTAGTGGTAGGAAGGTTTCCTACCGTTCCACAGCTCATAAGGAGTCTTATCGAGCTTCTTTCGGGTTACCTTATTCAAAAGGTAATTACTTGTCAAAATAGCCTCACCCCATGCATCTTGAGGTAGGCCCGAACTTATAAGCATCGCATTCATCATATCTTTCAATGTACGATTCTTTCGTTCGGCAACACCGTTCGATTGAGGTGAGTAAGGTGCAGTACGCTCGTGTATTATACCTACACTCGCACAGAAGTCACCAATAGGTGCTTCGTACTCACCACCTCGATCGCTTCTAACCTTCTTAATCCTCCGATTAAGTTGGTTTTCTACTTCATTCTTATAAAGAACGAATTTATCAACGGCTTCATCTTTGCTCTTAAGAAAATACACATAGCAATATCGTGTGCTATCGTCGATAAATGTGATAAAATACTTATTACCACCTCTCGTTTGTATCGATCTAAAATCGCACAAATCACTATGGATTAATTCTAGTGGTTCAGTTTCCCTTTCAACCGATTTGAAAGGTACTTTCGTTAGTTTTGCCTCAACACAAATTTCACACTTGTTATTTGTGTCAATTTTAAAGTTAGGAATATGGTCCATGCTAATTAATCTACGCATAGAATTAAAATTAACATGACCTAGTCTACCATGCCACAAACTGGAAGTCTCAAGCAAGTAAACATAATTAACTTTGCTTTTATTGATAACAGGAATTACATTGAGCTTAAAGAGCCCATCAGTTACATATCCTTTACCAACAAACATCCCTAACTTGGATAAAACTACTTTGTCGGACTCGAACACCATGCGAAAGCTATGCTTGTTCAATAGAGAGCCAGACACAAGATTCTTCCTCAGCTCAGGAACATACAGCACGTTGTTCAACATTAGTTCCTTCCCGGAAGTCATCTTCAGAACCACCTTGTCCATGCCTTCCACAGCAGACTGAGCAGAGTTTCCCATCCACACCTTTTCACCATCAACGGTCTCAAAGGTGTTGAACATTTCTCGGTTGCAACACAAGTGCCTGGTTACACCGGTATCAATGAACCACTCACGAGGGTTTGAGCCCACGAGGTTCACCTCGGTCACCATAGCCGAAAGGCTAATCTCGACCTCCTTCTGACTGCTATCTCCAACAACATTGGCTTCAGAACTCTTGTTCTTCTTCCTTGGAGCCTTGCATTTAGATGCTCTGTGGCCATGCTTGCCACAATTGTAGCATTCACCAGGAAACTTGTTCTTGGTAACGCCACCTTATGGACATAGCTTTCGCTTGTCCTTCTTGTTCCTCTTGGAGCTCTTACCGTGCTCCACAACGTTGGCCTTAACGCCAACAACGATAGGAACTTTCCTATCATTCGTCCTGTTCCCTTCCTCAATCCCGAGTCGCTGGATCAGGTCCTCCAGATTCATCTCCTTTCGCTTATGCTTAAGGTAGTTCTTGAAGTCCTTCCAACCTGGAGGCAACAAATGGATCACGGATCCCACTTGAAAGGCTTCACTTAGCACCATGCCCTCGTCACGGATCTCATCAAAGATTAATTGCAAATCTTCTACCTGACTTAGCACGGTTTTTGAATCAACCATTTTGAAGTCGAGGAATCGCCCAACTACAAATTTCTTTGAGCCGGCATCCTCACTTCGGTATTTATGATCCAAAGCTTCCCACAACGCTTTTGATGTGCTTATCTTTTGATATACATCATATAGCGTGTCACACAATCCATTCAGGATGTAGTTTCGGCAAAAGAAGTCCGAATCCTTCTAATAGCCAACTGCCATTACGGATTGTGCATCTTGTTCCTTCAACTCGGGAACACTCTCGGACAAGAACCTTGCCAGGCCGAGAGTTGCTAGGTAGAACAACATTTTCTGTTGCAACCTCTTGAAGTTCGAACCAACACCGGTGAACTTCTCCGGCTTTTAAGCCGAACCACTCGTTACCGAAGGTACCCGAGACATGGGAATATATCCCTCAGTACTCCCACCATCTTGTGAACCAACGTTCACTGGTGTAGCTTAGGAATTAGCAACATTGTTGCCATTCCCTCCACTGTTATCCGCAACCACATTATTGTTGCCGTTTCTTCCATTGTTGTCCGCAACAACATTATCCTCCCCATCGATTGGCAGTACGGGATGCTCCATTTTCTTCAAGGAAATTTGGAGAAAACAACCAACGGGAAAACGAAGAATAAGGTTTTAAGACTGTTGGTACCGTTGGTAGAAAACACAAATAATAATAAAAAATAAGATTATTATTTTCTGGAAAGAAGGGAAGAAAAGATGAAGAACTTTGGCTAGTATTTGGTGTTGGGTTTTTGCAAGAGTCAAGTGAGCACTCTTTCCTTAAAACCTTATTTGCCACCTCCCAAAGATGCTAGGAGCGTTGTGGCCTAGGCTTCCCAGGATAAAACTTGCTAGTGATTTAATGTTTGAGCACTCAAATAAGGAATCCGGCGAGCAAGACACGGTTATGAACACAGTATGGCTAAGAAGAGGAGTAGAAGCAGAATTTTGAGGTTGGAAAACAAAAGTTTCGTGCAGTGTTCTTGCTGTTCTCACTGTGTGTAAAACTCTACTGCCTCTACCCTCTCTTATATAGGGTTGAAGGAGCCAATAGCCTTTATTATGGCAATTAAAAATGACATTAAAGCTGCCTTCCAACAGCTATAATAGCAGGCCACTACCTGGGAATTGAATTCAGAATTCAAAAATTGGAATTAATAGACAATTAATTCTGTAACAGATGAATTCAATCCCCTCAACAGTCAGAACTTTCGGGTTCCAGACCGTTAGCTTACAGGGTTCGGTCTCAACTTTCGACCTCATCCAGTTTCGGTCTCAACTTTCGACCTCATCCAATTTCGGCCCTTGCACCTTTCATGGACTCTGTTGCACGAGAGTTGTGCTCTCGGTGCACCACAACCTCTCGAGCTCTCTTGTAGCACGAGAGTAGGTCGGTTCGGTTCTGGCCGAACCAAGTGCCGGCACACACGAGCTCGGGCTTGAATCAAGCCTTTTTCAATCTCTGCTAGTTGGAATTTGAATTGCACCCCCCCCCCCCCCCCCCGCGCGAGAGAGCCTCTATGCTATACAATTCTACAAGCTTCAAAAGAGCTCTTGTATATAAGGGGGGAAAATCTTCATTCCAAAGCAATGTGGGACAAAAGCTCACTTTTTCCCTTCATTTTCCAACTCAAATGGGTCTACTTTGAGAATCAATATCTCATTCACCCATTATCCGTTTTGAGCGTACAATATATCGATCTCTTCGTCTCACTACGAAGAATCCGAATCCACTTTGACCCGACCCAAATCAGAAGTGGACCCCACTGATAATTGTACCACAAAATAGCCACTTAACATGCCATTTTAAGCTATTTTTTCCAACAATTATTTCATCGTTTTGTTAATTCTTAATTAGATTACTTAAAATCAATGAAAATATGTCTGGACTATAAGAGATTTTTTTTTTTTTTGAGTACTATGTACCCTGTTACATGTAGTATCTGTTTTTTTTTTTTTTTTTTTTTTTTTCTTTTGTTTTGTTTTGTTTTGTTTTTGTTTTTGTTTTTTTTTTTTCCTGAGGAGGAAGATATCCAACAGTTCCTATAGGAGACTACTGTGTTAGTTATTCCTATAGGACTCTACTGTTTGTAACTGACTGTTTCAATCTATCGATTCTGAACCTGTTACTCTCATCACTCTCATAGCATTCGTATGGCCAAGTAAGCCAAGCCCATCTTCCCGTAGGGTTCTTTGAATTTCTCTCGGAGGGCTCTCAAACCATCTGATGGTGTTGTCCGGATCATAGGCTCGTCTACTCAGAATGTCAACTACTCTATTTTGCTCCCGTGGAACATGTTTTAGATGGATTTCCCACTGACGATTTCTTATTTCCCTGCATTAGGATACTAGGTTGCTTGCAGGGCCCTTGTATTCTTCAGTGCTGTTGATCAGGGAAACTGCTCTGATCTCGTGCAATCTGACTCAACGATCACCTTCCGGTACCCTAGCTCCCATGCCTTATTTACGCCAATGTATATCCCCCATAGTTCAGCTTCCATCGCCCCACAGGTTCCTACATTCTTGGAGAAGGCACCTACGAAATCAGCTTCTGCATTTCTTAGAAGACCGCTGCACACATCATCATTATTTCTTCCGGTTCCTCCATCCGTGTTTAAGTTTATCCACCCCGGTTCAGGAGGTTTCCATGGCTGACAACGAAGACTCTCACCACCCTGCCTTCTTCTCGGTTCTGAGCTCTTGTCCATTGTTGTTTCTATATCCTCGAATTGCCTGTGGATCCACTCCATCTTCTCGCTAATGGTTTGCTCCTCTCCATTGAATATGCGATTGTTTTTCCACCTCCAAATCCATCAGGAGATAATGAGCGCTCTTCTTCTTTTCTTTTTTGGCCTCCATTCGTACTTGCCAGATTATGCATTAGCCACGAATTAAAATCCATAGAGAAAAACATACCTGGGTTTTCCATTAATTTGTTGTGGCTCCAAATTTCCTTAGATGTCGGGCAGCTCCTCATTACGTGCTCCACGTCCTCTTTATCTGCTCCACATAAGTCGCACCGTTCATCTGCAGTGAAACCTCTTTTGTATGGTCTGCTTCTTGTGTTATCTGGGCTCTTCCTCTGTTTCTTTCTCACTTTCGTCCCGCTTAGATATCTATTCATGTTTTTTTTTTTTTTTTTTTTTTTTTTTTTTTTTTTTTTTTTTGTGTTCGAGGTGGATGGTTCGGAGCCATCACCTTTCCTCCAGACATTTTTTGGTGGATTGCGTTGCGGCTGTTGCTGCTGTCTGGATCGTTTGACAAATTGTCGGAAGTAACCTCTCTGGATAAGTTCCTCAATTTTCCTCTTCAACACGTTACATTCATCTGTATCGTGGTCGACTTGCCTGTGAAACATGCAGTACTTTGTTTGGTCTGCATTTGAGGAGACCTTCATGCACTCCGGCGGGAATTCTATTATTCCCATCTCCTTGGCTTGCTTTAAAATGACACTAACAGGATGGGTAAGCGGCTTCAAATGGCGCGGCGGGACCTGGCGAGGTCGTTTGTGGTCCTTACCTTTTTTTTTGCAAATGGCTGGTTTGGGCGCGATGCCTAGTTGGGCTGACCAACTTTTTCAGGATTTCCACCCTTTCTACCTTCTTCCTCATCCTTCTTTCTCCTATCAACCTCCTCTGCTTCTGCATAATGGTTGGCCGTCCTCACAGATCTTCGTAAAAGCGAATGTGATTGGTGTTTAATTGCCTGTGAAAATCTCCTGATCTTAGCGCATGGATAAATATCGGGATTTCCACCTTGGAGTCAAAGTCGTAGACATTGTTGACCTCATTCTTCCACTTATTCAGGAAATCTCTCAGGCTCTCACCTCTGTCCTGCTTTATTACGCAGAGGTGAGAGAAGGGTTTCTTACGTTGTATGCTGCCAGAGAAGTATGTTAGGAAACTCTTGGATAATTCTTCAAAGTTTTGGATCGAACCATCAGTGATGGTATTGAACCAGTCTTGGGCCGCCCTATCCAAAGTGGACAAGAATGCCATGCACATGACAGCATCCTCCGTCCCGATCATTACCATAACAGCCTTATATCTTGTCATGTAGACACGCGGGTCGGAGGTCCCGGTGTATGCTCTGATGGCGGGTAACCTGAAGTCCTTTGGTAAAGGCGCGTCCATTATACTTGGGGAAAATGGAGCCGCCATCCTCACCTTGGGTTCCAGCGATTGATCTCTCGCTTCTACTTTCCTTTCTAACTCTTCAATCTTCCTTTGCAATTTTTCAACTACCCCATCCTCTGGGGTCCTCTTCGTAGTGGTCCGGCGCGGGGCCGACTCATCAAACTGTTAGCGCGGGGTCGACTCATCAAACCGTTGGCGCGGGGCAGGCTCATCAGATTCGTCCACCCTCTCTTTTGGTGATCTCTCCTTTGCTCTACTATCATTTCGGCGAGGGCCTCTGGTGGAGGACCCCTCGGCCCGTGATCGCAATCTTTGCCGCACGGTTGTCCTCGCCCCCAACCGTTCCAAGATAGACTTGGAGGCGGCTGGTTGCCTGGCTGGTCCACTTCTTTGAGCATCCTCCTCTGGACCCCTTATCCTGGTGTGATGTCTTGGGTCCCTGGTTACACGGGTTGTATCCCGCTGCTGTGTTTTCTCTCTCCATGGGGACTCCACTTCTACTTCCTAGGGTTGTGGCGGGGTGGCCCTGCAACCCCACCACTGCATGAGCTAGCGCCGTCGCTGCCTGCTGCATAGCCTGGGCAGTCGCCTGGAGGTCCATAATCTGGGCGGACGATGCCCCTGGTCCTCCATTGTTGAGCTGTTCTCAAAGGTATCCACGGTTGTTATTGAGTTCGTCTCAAAGCTAGATCACCAGAGGTGTTGCCATTGCCGTTCAAGTTGCAGGGAACCGTGGGCTCCGTGGGAGCTGGTGGATCCTGAACGAGCCATCTTTTCCAAAAGCGCAACGTTTTTGCTTGAGATTTGATCTCGTCTCTCAATGAAAACACCAATAAAGGTAAATATGTTAATGGATAATATTATT